AAATTAAGTATCTGAAGGCTGAAATAAATGCTTTTCCCTGGCATGTTGAGTTTTCTTTGTGCAAAGCCGTTTTGTAAAAGCAATGGAGCATACAAATAGCCTTGAAACATTTCAGCCTGGGAATATTATATCATGATTTAATTTTTAATCAGCTTTTAATCCTAGGATAGCAATAAAAGACAATAAAATTCAGCCCACCAAATGAATGTGTCCCCTGACTTTGTACTTCGGTACAGTATTTCTCTCTACTTCCCCACAGACTCAGCTGGAAGAGAGTCGTCAGGAACAAGGAGCCCTGTTGCGTGAATCCTGCCGCCTGAAGGAAGAGGTTCAAGAATTGAGAAGCCGCGCAGCTGATCTAGAAGCAGCACTGAGCTCCTTACGTGACGAGCATACCAAGCTGGCTGCACAATATAAGGCAAGGCAGAAAGCAAGGTTCTGCAGTAGGACTTGCCAGCTCTTCCAGGTCCCACCTCTTCCCAAGTTTCAGGAAAGGTGTTGTGTCCCATCATCTGACTAAACAAAAACTCAGGTGGTCACAAAGCATTGTGCAACATCTGACTCCAAGCCTGAAGCAAGATCTGAGTATCCCTTCTGTACAGAGGGATGCCACTCTGCCTTAATGTTTGCATCAGATTAGTTCAATTGTTTATAAATACGCATGCAGTGAGTATTAAAATGTCTGCAAAACATGCTCCCGTAGACCAGTTTTCAGGAGAACATTAGTAGGAAAGGAGTACGTCTCCATCTCATGCCTTATATCTGATTGGGCATTGTGAGAAATACTATTCTGGATCAAAATGAGCTTCACCTTCCACCAGTAAGGCTATTTTCATATGTTCTTGTGTTCATTTTGTCATCAAAACTAGCTGCTGGATTTTTCAGATTTTATTCAAATGCTATAGGCATCACTCACTTTTCTTCCTCTCTACCCTTAACCAGGAACTGTCAAATTCTTACACAGAAATCTCCGAGCAGAGAGAGACTCTAAACCTTCAAGAAACTGAGCACTTGGCCCGAATCCAGGAACTGGAGGGCGATATCCAAGCAATGGGAGAGAAGATGCTTCAGAGGGAGACGGAATTAGACAGGTCAAGGCCATGTCCAAGAGAGCACCTCAAGTACATTCAAAAGAGAGAGGGATGGTGGGAGGAAAAGAAGGAAGGAGAAAGAGGAAGCGAGAGGGAGGGAGGGAGAGAGATGGGGGGAGGCAATATCTTCTGAGCTACCCAAAGGCAATCAGAGTCCTGTTGGTGTTCTGATTAGAACTCCTATTAACTCAGAGTATTAAAAGTTTCTAGGAGCAACACAACTGGCTGGGCTGGGCTGGGCTGGGCTGGGCTGAATTATATCTTCTCTCAAGCAAAAGTCAGAATCATCATGGAATCAGTCCTTTGTGCC